AGAGGCCCAAAAATAAAATTGGGGTCTCCTAATGACTGATTTGGCCAGTAGGTGTTATTGCTGCAAAAGTTTTAAAGAGCAAAATCCAGAGAGGTCTGTTATGGAATCAAATAGCAACAACACAAAAGGCCACACTGTTTTCCAGAAGCCTTTTTTTTTATGTTAGAAATAACTCCACTGCTTTTCTCATATTCCCATTCTCACAATGTCCAAGCACAAGGTTTGGCCCAGGTTTTTTGTATAGCTGCACTGACACCGAGTGAGGGCTCTTCCCCTTTACACGTTAGGCCAATACACGGAAGCCAGCTTAGCTGACTCTTACACAACCAGTGGAACTAGCTTCGAATTTCATATGGTCTCTGCAAAATACATGAAAGAAAAAATGGCAGCTCCTTATGTGCAGTTTGCATGGATTTAGTTATGCATTATATTTAGTTATATAAACTAAAAAAAAAAAAAAAAGAAGAAATAGATCCAGAATAATTGTTCAAACAGAGGAGCTTGTGCTGACAGAATTATCTTGAAGACGGTGAGGAGGACCATCTAACTGCTAAGAGAAAAACCTGAACTCCAATGAGCTGACAAAACACTGAAGACCTTCCAGGAATATCCACCAAAGACCACTGTAACCCTCTTTTGGAGTCCTTGTGCCTTTGAATGCCTTTGCTGGACATGTAGATTGAGGCTTCTGGTCAGCATGGTATAAAAAGACATGAAAATTAATATAAAGGTTAATTGTAGATCCCACTACTGTAAACAAAAGTGTGTGCTTAAGTCTAAACATGCCAGAAGTCTGAGGCAGCATTTTCAGGACCAGAATCTTAATTTTCTTTCCCATTTTCCAAATGTCTGTTTTTAAGGAGTGCAGCAGCTGAGCTCAGATGAGGTAGGCAAAGGCCTTTCTGGTCTTGTGCCTCTGTTCCCAGGCATTCCCCTTCTGCAGACAGATTTTGCAGATTCCAAATCTGTTTATTTTTCCTCCATTTCTCTAGCTTCAGATCTAACATTAGGACTCTCTGCAGGGAAAAATTGTGCATAAATACAGAGTAACCTATTTTGCATTATTTTGTTTTGTTGGTTTTTTTTTTTCTTCCCTGTTATTCATTGTATCTGACAGTTGGGGAGTACACTGTCTCATGCTGTCAAGGAGCAATGTCTCGCTGCCCTTTCCGAGCAGCCAATACGAAGGGTGGGTGCTCTTCCCTGTTTCCTGTCAGATGAGAGAGATCTGCCATCTTATTTCTAACATGGGCCAAGAAGAGATGTGCACATTCATCGACTAAGCTGAGGGTAATAGGCAGATAAACAATGAAATTCTGCTACCTTTATCCTCAAGGCAAGCATAAAACAAATTCTGTGAGGATAATTGACTTTAAAGCCTTGCTAAAAAAGACACTTTCCAAAAGCTTTAAACACTGGTTCAGTGAACTCCATCTTGATGCCTTCTTTGCAGCTCTTCTCCCCCAGGGATGTATGTCACCGTATCTCCTGAGCTATGCCCAAGACAACTCCCTCTGATTTTCTTTATTTTGTTACCTGTTCATATGCAGCACTGGTAAAAAGGAAATGCGATAACTAATCGTGCCCGTAACCAATTTTAATATATACTTCAGCTTGTATTTTTCAATCATTTAAAAAAAGAATCCGGTTTACCTAGAAGACCTTCAAACTCATGTCATGATAATTGACAGGAGAAATTGGGCTGTGTTCAAATGTGGCAGTGAAAAAGGGGCTATTTTAATTCTAAAAAAACAGGAAAACCTGCTTGATCAGGGCTTTGCTGAACTTTGCTGCTTCTGGAAGCAGCTTGTATATAGTGAGTGTGAGCAGTGTGAGCAGTGAGCAGTACTGCAACCTGCCAAATAATGGGAAATACAAGGAAGTATGAAGCAGGCCCCACAGTCACAAGTCCATCTCCAGCAAAGGACAAGTATTAGCTACCACACTGACTCTGTTACAGAAACTGTTTTCCTGGAAACCATCCTTGCTGTCTCCAGTTCTTCTCTGCTTTGCTGTCCCTGTTGTCTTTTATATCTCTGCGAGGCAGTTTAAGGTGCTAACAAAATGGATATGCAGCCCTGACTCTGTGCGGTTGCAGACGATCATCAGATGCAAGATAGTGATGGCCTAGGCTCACATAGGCCTGGCTACAGCTTGCCCTGGTAGGGCAGACGAGGAGTGTGGTGTTATGCTGGGATAATACACAGATTGTTTACATTCTGGAAGTCACGATCACCCAATTAAATTTCCAAGTCCATTCAGGTTCTTTGATGATATGGACAGCTTGAAAGTTTTTGTTTCTATAATCTTCTTTGCAGTGCAATAAATCTTTGTCTCAGTGTAATTTCAGATGGGCTGCTGAGCTTGAAAAAATTTTGAGTATGGTGTTTCTATAACCTGCATAGCTGTATTCAAATACTGCAGACTAAGAAAGCTACTTAAAAGGGGACAGTGGGTCATGAAAGTAATGACTCAGACTGTCTTGTTCAAGGCTGATGAGTAGGAAGGAAGGCTGTCATTGAAAGGAGTTTGATGCTTAGCTGAGTCATGTTTCAAACTGACATCCTTTCATTTTCAGTGTTACTGAATATTTGATAACCTTGCTGGTACAAGTTAGGGTTAAAAATATTTTTAGTTAGACTACTCTGCAGTTGCTTTGTCTTTCACTTGTCTTTCATTCTGACTCAGAGGCTCAGTTTTAGGGAGACTGACAGAATCAAAGGTAAGGAGAGAGAAATACATGCAAGTTTCATATAACAAAGCAAACAGCACAACACTTCTGTCCTTATTTTTTTTTTATCTTCAGTAGTAATCTGAAAATTCAAAAGTAATTGTTGCCTACCTGCAATGTCTGACTGCAAGGACCAAGACAGCTCCTGTTTGCAGGGACACCTCCTGTGAATTGCATTGTCACATGCATTGGTGGCCACTGGCAGATAATTGTGACCCAGTTAAGGTCAGTGCATAACATGGTAATATAGATGTGACAGAGGATGGGAGAGCACCAAATTCCCAGACTCAGAGCCAAGTAGAACAGACCCCAGTACAAGAAACTCTGAGTTTCAGTTGTGTTGGTTCAAGAGCTGCATTCCCATATGAACAGTGGATGTCCTAAATTGGTGCCTGAAGGAATCCTCAGGATTTCCAAGCACCCTGAGAAATTTGTTTGCATTTTCTCCTGTATGTAAATGGACAAGACAATGATCCAGTGATACAGAAGCACTTTAAACTACAGCAGTTGCCCTTTGATTCCTCATCTTGCAAGCACAATGTGTTTGTCAAACACCAGTTTGGGGACACAATTATTAGTTTTTTTTCTCACAGAAGTTGTCCCCAAAAGTGGAGGGAAAAGAAAACACTGCTTGCACATTATGCCTGCAAAGCAGACAGGTAGCCTCACACCCCAATACAATGCTATAGTCTCATGTTTTGTCTTATCTGTTTCTCCTTTAAGCTGCCTGTCCTTGACAAGACAGTACTGTACAGGCCAAGATCAAAGCAGTCATGTCGCATCACTACTAGCTCATGTCTCTGGTTTAATACTTCTGTTCTTTCTGCTCAAAACTTTACCCCTCCTCCTGCTCATCTACTGGCACATAACTCCACCCTCTCCAAGGACCATGTCTGTTCATGCAAGTGCTCCAAGCTGTCAGGATGCTCTCTTCCACCAATCTTTAGCCTGAAGGTCTGTTTCAAGTGACTCTCCATAGCATTCCTGCCTGCAGGCACTGCACCATCAGCATCCATGGCAGCAGTGCCTGTGACCACGAGCAGTGCTATTGGTGCCTGATCAGGATGCAGCAGGAAACGTCTGGCCTCCACAACCATTTGCTAAAACCAGGCCTCCTCTGGCAGGAGTCCAACACAAAGTAAACAGAGTTTCACAGCCAGATTTCAAACTACAAAATAACTGAGAAATATGGCTCTCTGCTCCTAGTTTTCAAATTCAAGACATGGAGGCCTCTAGAATCAAAAATCTTTTGTGGATTCTAGGACCTTTTGGTTTCCAAATGGATTCATCACATTAGGGAGAAAGTGCTCTGATACAGTTATTTTAATTAGCTAATTAGTTTAGTTTAAGCATTTGCTAATTTTTAAGATGGTTTCTTTTCCAAAATCAGTGATGGAGAAAAATTAAATTGTCAAACTGGAGACCTCAGCTTGCAATACGTGTTCAGGAAACTATGTACAGAGATAGAATAGTTCTGAACATTGATATTGTAGGATATTTTTCATGGTATAAGAGAGAGAGAAGGACTCAATGAAGTGTGAATGATTTTTTAAAAGAACAGATTGCCATGTCTTTTAAAATAGGTCAAGTTTTTGGCCTAGTTTTTCACGGTGTCCCTTAAAGCAACAAGGTTTAATATTAAAAACAAAAACACCATTGTGTTTTTGTTTCTAGCCACATCTATGTATGTATGTTTTAGGGCAGAAATGTTCCAGTGTAAGAATAGAATGGCAAAGACTATCTCAAGCAACATTTCTGAGCAAGTGACACTCAATAGTAAAATCTCACTGGTGGCCACACTTCATCCTTAATGTGAAATGTTAATCTGAAACAAGCAGCTAAGGAAAAACAAACTGTAAATAAAGGAGATTGCCAATGAAGCCAACACCTGTAGACCCAACGCCTGTCAAATTTTGCTCCCCTAAGTCCCTGGAAATTTAGCAGCATTGTTTGCTTTCCATTTTGAAGCTGATTAATTCAATTGATTAATTTGATTTAAGTAGAAACAGAAATACAACAATGACATTCAGATTGAAGGTACACAAGATAGTACTTGAACAAACTTACTGAAAGGAGATAAAACACAACTGTCAAAGCAAAAAGAATCTGTATGTATGTATTTAGATTCTAAAAATGGACATTAGAGATATTTTAAACAGTGAGAAATTCCGCCTGCAGTGTTAATTAATATAGAATAAATACAATTTGTCTTCCATGTAAGTGCAGTCTGGTACGTATGCTTACAGACACACCTTTGTTCTGAGAACATAGGTATAATGCATGCATATATAATGATGTTACAAAGACTTCATTATTCAACATAATACAGCAGTAATTGAAGTTAACCTTAGTGCATCTGTACGGATTGAGGCAAGGCATGACTAGGATTTCCTCCATCCCAGAGCTCTAGAAAAAGACCAGGTACAGATCAAGAGTGGTTATGCTTGGAGAGTACACAGACAAGGCTTGTCACTCTACCTACACTCCCCTGAGGCAGAGATGGGAGCTTGGTGGATCTTTATTAAAATATATATTTTTTTTCCCTACTAAGATGATCCATAAGGGATAGTGCCCTTCAGGCACAACCCTTCAAGAATGTACCTTCTTGTGGTAAAACTCTGCATTGACCCAATGCACAGTAATAAATATCAGTTGGCTCACAATTTTGTACAGTAATAAAGACACTGAATAGCTTGTCAGTGCATGCTTCAGGAAAGAAGTACAATCTGGAACAACGGGGTTTTGGAATACACTTGGAATACAAATCTTCTGCAAGTTGTGGACTTCATTATGAAAACTGTTCATGAATCTAATTAATCTGTGACTGAAGACAATGCAAAAGCATCTCTAGCATCTATTATGCTATTTCTTTGTGTCCTATTATGTAACAAGATAGTTATGAGAAAACCTTTGTTTTAACAATTAACGCTATTTTGCATTAAGATTTGTAGCTGTAACTACCATCATGGACTAGAACCTTTATTTTTTACCTGGTCCTACTCCACACCCTCTGCTGATGAACCAGAATGAACTGGTACATGTGTGGCTTTGTGTGTACAGTTAATGACACACTAAGGCAAGAAGAAGAAGGAGAAAGAGGATCTTCCCTCACAAGAAGGAGAAAGAGGATCTTTCTCTTTACAAAAAACCCACGAAGTGCAGGAAAACTCATTCACAGAGCTCCCAGGGATTCTGATTTGTGAACAGCTCTTTTTCACATATTAACTCCCACTATTTCCTGTACAACAAGAATACTGTGCACACAGATCTGTTTTCAGTTTTCTCACTGGTGGTTTCTCCTAATACTACTCATATATCAAGATCACTTTCACTTCATAACAGTTCACAAATTCTTCCAATAGTAATCCTGTTGTGTTTCTTTGTCTGCTACAGTCTAAATAATTAACAGAGATGCCAGGCAGATGTTAAGTAGCAGTAAAATGTTACTATCTCTGTAATTCCTCGTACAGTAGCTGACAAAGTCTTATTTTGCAAAGAATCCTACTGAAAGGTCATTCTCAGTATGAATATGTGATTGCATAATTACTCAGTAAGGACTTGGGGACTAAATCTCATTCATTTTATAATCTGAGTCAAGTTGGAAAAAAAAATCACATTGTCTATTTGAATTGAACATGTTTATAATGTTCACAGGGAGTTCTCCTCCCCTGCACAGTGCTCAGTGGAGCAGGTACAATACTTTTTGTTATCACAATGAAATGTATGAAAGGAAAGATTGATTAATTCTCTTTGTTTATGACACTATACACAGATCCAAATTCTTAATGCCTCCCCTTACCTTTGTAGGAAATTTGCAGTGTGTGATCCTGAACACAATATCATATCCAGGTTTCATGTGGAAAACAGCAGCTCTGTGTAGAATACCTGTTATAGGGAACATACAGAATAATTACATTGTGTGCTGACGTAAAGTGACTGGCTCATCTGTCTGAAGGACAGGATTTTACTCTGTTGGATTGAAGCAACTTCTGTGAGATTCGAGCCAAGAATATTTGAAAAGAAAATGTTGCTCACAATCTATCTGGCTGAAATCCTATGCTTATCCAGGCAATAGGTTAAGCTAAGAGCCAAAATCTAGCTGTATGGAAAGGTACTGCTGAGATGAGGATGAAGCTTTTTAAGGGAATTCAGTCCCTGGGCAGCTAACCGCATGGGAATTGTAGTGGATGGGGAGTGGTGGGTTCCCATGTCAGATGAGCATGGCAGTGAATGAGTCAGCATTGGTGGCTGTAGTCTTCTTTGTACCCACAGCGATCTTTGTGGTCTTAACCAACATGTTTGGGTTGGATCCTCAATATAGCAAAGAAGTCTACAGCAAATCAGTTCAGATAGTAGAAAAATTACATCCTTTTTCAAGATGCTTTTACACTGATCTTTTACTGATCTTAACAGTTTATTGCCAAAACTTCTAATTAGTTTAACAGTTACAATATCACAGCTCTTACAAATCAACACCACGTACAGCCAAGAAACAGCTGTTCTCATACTCACAGGCTTCTAACATTTATCTAACAATTCAAAAGAAAAACAGAATAAAGTATTAACATCAATATGAGAAAGGAATTCATGTCCTCTGTTATTTTAAAGTGAACTCAAGAAATGTCTGATATATTTAAATAGCTTTTTAATAAATGTTATGTGTGAAAATATGGAAATTCAGATAAAAGCTGCTAGTTTACAACTGATGTGATTTGGGCATGGGAGCAAATGTGGCTATTAAGATGAATAAAATCCTGGACTTCACTGTTTGGGATAGCTCTCTGAGGTTTTCAGCTTTCAGTTTTCAGTTTTACTGTGAATATGCTATATTGGAGCAGTTCAGTTTACAAACCAGCACCCTTCAGGCCTGGGTTTTTTATATAAGAATAACATAAATAAACAAATAGGTCACCTAGCTAACTTGATTTTCCTGTGGCAGATCACTTTCTTCCCTTCAGGAAGCAAAGAATAGGTCTCCTTCAGTGTCACGAAGATAGAAAGTAGTGAAAGCTTTCCCTGTGCTCATCATTTTTACTTCAACCTGCAGAACAAGTTGATTACACTGTGTCAAGTAAAATTTCCTGTGTTATGAGGATATTTTAGTTTTATATTTTTTATTTTTTTGTTAGGTTTCATTTTGCTCCCCTTTCAGGTTTTTAAGAAGTCCTCTCCCTGAATTCTGGCAGAACCCAAGCTCAAGATTCCAACTGTCTAAGCCAAGTTTAAGAATACTGCTATTTACATGGTGCAGTAAGGGCCAGTTAGCCAAGTCTGGTATCAGTCCAGGAGTAATCCTTTCCACAGATACAGGCTGTGTTCTGTCCACGGTCAGGAGGTAGGTTGGACAGAAGTAATGTGGAGTCCTTTTATTAACACAGCAGGCACCCAACTTAGAGCTGTGCCTATTTAGGCTTCTAAAAACAGTTTGCACTGAACGTGCCCTCTGGTTTCCTGGCAGGGCTACTCCCATACCAGTAACTTGATACATGCACTCATGGTCACCATAACACCAGCCAAGCACATGGAAATAAGACCATCTTTAGAAAATACCTCAATGGGTTAAAACAGTAGGGCACAGCTACCAAAGCCATGTTTGAGATTCCTCACCCTGCAAGGCAGAGAGAAGGGCTTGGTACTTTCTGGTTGTTGGCAGCTCAAAGAGGAAAAGGATGATTGTGCAAATGGCAACTTCTTGCATAGAAAGTCTTTCCAGAATTAAACAATTGAGAAGTTTGACTTCGAGTTGCCTTTTCCTTCTGGCACTGAGGTGGAGGAGGGAGCAGGAAGGTATCAGCTCTCCTAATGGTTTGCAGAGTGATTAACTACATGCTGCAGGCCCAAATTCAGCCCTATTCATACTGCTGCAGCTTATAGGGGATGATACAGCGTTACAACCATCTTTGAGGACAAACATTGTCATGGCAGGGATACAGAAAATTATTACTAGCAATCTAATTGCTGAAAGGGAAACAACTTTTTACACATAAATGCCTGGTAAATAGTTAGAAAATATGATGTTTTTAATTTTATCCACAGCACATTTAATCTCAGATTACATATGCAGACATGGAAAGTACTGGCGTGACATTTAAACATACCAAACCTGTCCCATTGTAAGATTTTTTGTTATTATTATTTTTTTTTAATTTTGACTAATTTCTTGTATAGAAAGACCTATTATTGTAGTACATGGTCATTTCTTGGCCATGTGAAAATATTACTCTACTTTTCAAACTTTCTCCCTTCATTTCTGAAAGCATAGGCAAGTTAAAAAATAATCATAGCTTAGTCATAAAATCAGTATGTCAATATTTACTTGGCGCTCCTTCATGTCTTGGTCTTTCTTTGCTATTCTGATGCTTCAACTAAGTCCAGTATGCGTCATCAGGCCCTGGATCTAATAACTTGGGAAGATGATATTTTAAGATGCATTTGCATTAGCAAGTGAAAATCCAAATGGTGTGTGGAAAAGTGTGCTGAGCATGATGCAAAATAATTGCCAAAAGAGGAATTGAGATATAATAAGGTGGAAAAAAAGCACAATGTGCAACAGTGAGAAGGCCTGCGGGTGCATTTGCAGGTTCCTCATGCAGATGGTAAAATTTATTTTTTTTTACATTTCTTTACAAATAAAGATGCAGTTATGACACAATTGATTCAAATCTATTTTTAAATCCGTTCGTCTGAGCTTCTGACACCAGCTTTTAGCGGTCTAAGGAAATTCTTTTAAGAAAAGAATTCAGGCTTCAAAACTCCCAACCACTGCTTCAACCAGGGCAACAGCTGGTGTCCTGGGCACCGTCTGGAAGAAAGAGCAGTTTAAGAGCTATCGGATTGCTTTTCCATCTCACTGGTTTTACAGTTTCATAGTTGTGACTTACTGGGGATCTAACTTGGATATTGATAGATATTTTAGTGTAAATATCATTTATCTCCCTAGAAGTGGGGGCTTTCTTTTCAGTGCAATAGGAGAAGGCCCACTGCTTTACCAGGGCAGCAGATGGGCAAAGTGAGTGAACACTCTGTTAGTTTCTTTTTCAATGCTCGTACGTAAGCACTGCTGCATCTGAAACCCAATTACTATAGCATTTAGTGCAAAGAATAAATCACAACAAGTATGAAACTGAAAGTACTGCCACATACATACAGTGTGTTTCTTTCAGAGCATTTCCACCCAAAAGTATGACTGTTAAATGTAAAACAGACTCTCTCATTCATGCTTTAGATTTCTTTTTTTTTTTCTATAGTTTTGTCAAATCTACAGTTTGGAGACTACAAAATAAGTTTTATATCCCAAACAGCTTTATCACAAATGATTATATGAGAATGCTACCTTTCTCTTTGTGTTCAAATTGTCTTTTGATGTTGGTAGTGTTTTCTTGGGGCTGGCAACATTGCATGGTCAGAGAATGCGCTTGAAACACAGCACAATGGTTTTAGGGGAGCATACCTGAATTCCCCCAGTGAACTGGCATCTGAGTCCTTGCCTGGGGAGCAACAATATGACACAAAGCATCACACAAGTGGTTCCAAATCGTCTGCTTTTTTTTTAAGTTCTCAGACACTTGTGGAAAACAATCTTAGCATGATGTTATTGCCAAGTGTGCACAAGCCTCTTCCCAAAAGACTGGCTTGTGAGTTAATAATGTACTTTGTGCATTTGCAACACAATTGCTAGGCAGAGCACACTTCGTGTACTGCCCTGCTCTGCAGCTTGCCTCAGTTCAGGCACACTCATTCAAGCTGCTCTTTTAAAAGCTGCAGCTTTAAAATTTTCTCCACTGTTCATTTCCCTCCTAAAAATCTCCCACATAAGCATTCTTACTCCTGCAGTTTCACCAATGCTAGCAAGTGTGGGAGGGCTGGCATTTTTGGTACAAGCACATTTGGACTTTCACTACAATGTCTGCTCTGCTCCCCTGAATACATTTGCAATTAATCAGAGGGACCTACGACAAAGGGTGGTATACTGTGAAAGGTATCTACTGCATTAGGACTTAATATCCCCTCATTTCATGCAGATAGCGATGCTCTCCTCCCCCAAGAACTCCCTCTTTTTCTAGAAATTACTGAATGAGAAAAAGTTCTGTCAGAGGAAACTGAAAACAATAAAAGATCCCTGATCTGCTCATGAAAAGTGCTGTAAGAAAGCCAGGCTCTATACCATTATACTATATAATATAGAGTAGCAAATCATTATTAAAATTGAAGCTGTTCATTTTCAAATAGATCATATGTGGAGATGAACACTGTTCAGATTATCCTCATTACTAGAGGGAAGGTACATTTTACACTGATTTTCACACAAACGCCGTATGATCTTACGTGGTACATATTCAAGTAGCTGGAATCCATTAAAACCATGCTCCAGCTGTGCAATCACTGTCCTCACAAAGATACATTTTTACATGTGGTTAATGCCAGGAAGAATCCACAACTTCAATTATGAGATCACCAAAATATGTTGTTTATTGCAGAGAAAAGCATTTGTAGCTTTTTTTTTTTTTTTTTTTTTTAAATATCCAGCCAACACCACACTACTAAAGCTAGATAATAGAAATCCTGGAGAAATTTGAGCTAAATCTGTCTGGATTATAGCTGTGGGATTATCTGAATGCTAAATTACTGTATATGTTTTACTCGTAAGCATAGCACAGACAGTATGGGAAGATGGATGACTATGCAGATCGCAATAAAATCCATCCCCAGGGGACTTTTTAATACACGAGGTAAACAACCCCTCTCAATTTATCAAGCATTCTGGATTGAATTAATGCTGTCATTTACTTTGCTGTTGCTGTGTAGAGAAATACGGTTTAACTTAAACAGCTCCTTTCGCAGCAGAAAAACAAAGGTTTTCCCTTTGCATCCTTCATAACACGTCA